AGTCTCCATTACATCAAAAAGGTCTTTAGGTTTTCCTGTGTGCGCAGCACCCTGCATATGCAATGCTATGTTGGCCGTCTTAGGGGCTTCTAAACTTTAAACTAGTATATAGTCTCCTCCATTTAACAGATCATAGGAGGTGAAGGTGAACGTCCCTCTGAGTCTAGCACATTCTCCAGAAAAGCCAGAGTGCCTAATTCAGGCTAGCACCCCCTGAGCACAAGCAAGGTTCTTTCTATGTTAAAATATCAACAATGTGCCAGGTGGTGGTGCCACATGCCTTTAATCCCAGCACTCGGGAGGCAGAGGCTTATGGATCTCTGAGTTCGAGGCCGGCCTGGCTACAGAGTGAATTCCAGGACAGTCAGGGGTTACACAGAGAATCCTGTCTTGAAAAACAAACTTCAGATATTATGGTGAATGAAGCCAGACAGACAGAAAATAAAACATGGCAAGAACTCTTACATATAGAATCTAAATTGGGTTCTTTCTAGTCTTTAAAAATTAGCCAGTCAGCTGGGCATATTGGCACAGGCCTTTAACCCCAGCACTCAGAAATTAGTGGCAGGTGGATCTCTGTGAGTTTTAGGACACGATAAGGAGATCTCCAGGACAGCCAAGAGTACAAAGAGACGACGTTTCAGAAGTAAACAAACAAACAGAACTACCCAGTCTGTTATATTCAGTATAACAAAAATGGGCTAAAACAACTACTCAAGAGAAAAATATTCTCATTAAGAAATCATTCAAACATGAAAAAGGAAATCAGGACCGCGAGGGGTGCGTTCACCCTCTGATACAAGGGGACTGATCGAATGAGAGCTCACCAAGGCCAGCTGGACTGGGACTGAACGAGCATGTGATCAAACCGGAGTCTCTAAATGTGGCTGACATGGGGGCTGACTGAGAAGCCATTGACAATGGCACTGGGTCTTGTTTCGTCTGCATGAACTGGCTTTTTGGGATCCTAGTCTGTTTGGATGTTCACCTTCCTAGACCTGGAGAGAGAGGGGAGGAACTTGAACTTTCCACAGGGCAGGAAACCCTGACTGCTCTTAGGACTGGAGAGGGAGGAGGAGAGGGAGTGGGGGGAGTGGGAGGGTATGGTGAGGAGGGGAGGAAGTGGAAATTTTTATAAACAAATAAATAAATTTAAAAAAAAGAAAAAGAAAAAAAAAGAAATCATTCAAGAGGCTGGAGAGATGGCTCGGAGGTTAAGAGCACTGCCTGCCCTTCTAGAAGTCCTGAGTTCAATTCGCAGAAATCACATGGTGGCTCACAACCATCTGTAATGAGATCTGGTGCCTTCTTCTGGAGTGCAGTCCCATGCAGACAAAGAGCACTGTATATAATACATACATACATACATACACACACATACATACATACATACATACATACATACATACATACATACATTTTTTTAAAAAGTCATTCAAAGGGGCTCATGAGGCCACGCTACTCCCCAGGGGACTCCTGGCAATTGGTGGTTGGGTGGGAGAGGGGATGCCACTTTCTTCAGTGATGTAGGCACTGACAAGTTGCCTGTGCTCCAGAAGGGTAAGACTTGATGGGGAGAAGAAAGCTTCAGCGGAAGCAGGGAGCGGATGAGAGAGGGGGATGGCGGTGAGGATGACTAAACTTCAATGACACAAATGGAGGGAAAGGCGTTTGCCTCGTTCGCAGAGTGATCTTCAGGGCAGACTAGGCAGGCACACTGGTTGTCCTCCTGGTGAGTAGACACACACCCGACACCAATGAGGTGCAAAAGTTCAGCTTTTAAATGTAAATTTTTAAAAAGCACTGACAGGGGCTTTACATCTTCTAGGCAAGGAATGAGATCCAGTTTTTCTTCATTTAAGAAATATTCCCACCTGCCAAGAAGTTCCCTCCAGAACTTAATTCATTTTCCAAATGCCGCTTTGTTAAAGGTCTGTACAAGATTTAAAAGAAAGGTTATAGGCTATAATTCAATCTTTAAATTATTATATATGTCCTGAAAATTCTGTAAGTGAAGATAAATGGTCTCATCATGATCTGGAATTTTTGTCAACCCAGATACAATACTCTAGGCATATTTCTTTCCCTTCCTAAATTTTGCCTTCCCTGTGTGAAGGACTGCTAGGATAGGAAAATTAGCAAGAGATCAAACTGTCTGAAGCCGAAAGGTGACGAAAGGATGGTAATGACATCAGCAGTCATTGCATATCTAAGCATCCAGTCACTGTGACTAGCCGTGAGCAGGTCACTTATGCTGGTGTAGGTCACACACATTACCTGTTGGCTGAGGCGAATGAGTTAAACCACAGGTATTAGGGATCAAGAGTGCTGGTCAAACATGCCAAGTGAATCCTGATATTGACTCTGACAGCCTTTCAGAGGAGAGGCATTGCCAAAGAACAGCTGTTTTGAAAAGATAAGACTGTGTCCCTTTCCTCAAAATTTTAGTTGAGAAACTCAATGGTAAAAATAATTACATTTCTCAGGGCTGCAGAGATGGCTCAGCGGTTAGGAGCACTGACTGCTCTTCCAGAAGACCCAGGTTCATTTCCCAGTACCCACACGGCTGCTCAGAGCTGTCTGTAACTTCTGTTCCAGGGGATCTGTTGCCCTCACACAAGCATTACCTGCAGGCAAAATACCAATGTACATAAAATAAAAATAAATACATTTTTTAAAATTACATTTCTCTACCCTTTATACTCATTTGAATTAAAATAAAAATTTAAATATACTACAACCTGGAGGTTATAGCCATATTGCTAGAGGCTTGCCCCTTTAAAACAGTGATTGTTCTTAAGAGACAAATCCCTCGGCCTGGGCTGGGGGGATCAGATCATCACCCTTGCCATTCTATTCCCCAACAGAAAGCAAAGAGCTGTGCTATGTCGTGCCATGCCGTGTTGTGCTGTGCTGTGCTGTGCCATGCCGTGTTGTGCTGTGCTGTGCCGTGCTATATTGTGCTGTGCTGTGCTGTGCTATGCCGTGTTGTGCTGTGCTGTGCCGTGCTGTGCCGTGCTGTGCCGTGCTGTGCCATGCTTGCTGTGCTTTCACAGCTCCTAGTTTATGCCCCTAATCAGTATCTGACTCTCCCATTCTTACTGTCACATGTGTGATGTTGAGCTAAGTCACATGATGCAGATTGCCCAGATACTCTGACAGGTTATAGAAGTCACTGTCACGTGTGTGATGTTGAACTAAGT